TTGTAGTTTGTTTGAGGTGCTCTGCATGACGCGCAAAGTCTCTGACGTTAATACTGCATTTAAAATTATCTGTCGCATTCCTAGTAATCTTCATTTTGCTCTACGAGTTCTTCTTCTACATACCTACAGCTGAAGCAATAGGAATCCACTACCTGAAGAAGGTGAACCTGTTTGTTCAGAAGAAATTTGTACAGCCAATTTCCTTACCTTGGCTATCTTTACATGAATGTATAAATCGGACTACTTCGTTTCCCTCCCCGTAAACCTTTAAAATTATAAAAGTTACAATTGTTCAAATTATTTTATTTATTTTTTACTGACCACTTCATCTTTAATTACGTGTTATCTTCGTAGAATTAATTTATTCTAACCATTTCTACCTTTTAATTGTGTGTGTATTGATTTTCTTCGTTAATTATCACCCGTCGCATTGACATTTTGACACTGACTGACTAATTATTGTTAACAAACATATCATATTCTTTTGTGTATTCACACCTATGATTCAATTCCCTCACTGGATGTAATTTCTCAAAAACTATACATGTATATGCGATTGTACAGCTTGATAATAAATTCGTTGTTGGAGAGAGTCTCTTCGCTGACAGAATTACCACTTGTTTTGATTATCTAAATGTTACAAAGGGAATTTTCTAGGCGGAACATGTAGGCATTTCTTATTTTGCTATGCTTTTACTTTCCGTGTTCAACCAACTATTTCATGACTGTACTTCTTTGATGAATATCTATCCTTAAAGACAGCAGAAATGTGAGTAATTCTAACCAATAATACGATATATATGTATAAAAAAATTTATTATTATCACACATATATAAATAACTTTGATTTTCATTTACAAATCAAAATATAACATGACAGAATTCTATTTTCCGACTTCGGATAAATGAGAATAACTCATTCCGACAATGATTATGGAGTGTGCTATGTAATCTTTACAATTTCTATTATCTCAGCATCATGCATTTGTCGACACGTTGGATGTAAAGAAGTTAACTGCGGCTGGACAGCCTGACTGAAATAATCTTCTGTAATAAAACAAGAATGAGAGTTATTGCGGTCTATTTGTCATATTGTGTAGTTTTCTGAATGACTAAGCACATATTTATTCTGACTACATATAGATATATATTTTTCCAAATGAATATATGTTTCTGACGGTGTATATTATCCACAAAGAAATGAAGTGTGAATTAGACGAGTTTGATTAGAAGATTTCATCATGAGCTGAGTTTGGTTAAGCGACCATTGGAAAACCAGCAAAGTGTACTGAACAGCCAGACGTTTCATCCTAGTCTCGGACACTCCAATAGTACGCACACACCCCACTGCCAGGGTTCGAACCCACGACCTTCTGTTCACAAGGCTGTTGAGCTCGTAGACCATTAAGCCACTGGGACCTAATCCACTGTCCAGTTCATCAATTCTATCTTCTGTCAATTCACGACCGTGAGTTCCTGGATTCGAACCTCAGTGGTGTGGGTGCATACTGCTATAAAGTTTCCAACAAGGCTGACAAAGCAGCTGTCCAGTGCTCCTAAGTTTTGCAATGGTCCTCTAAACGATGTCAACTCACGAATAACTCCTGTTGTTTATTTTGTTTATCCTGTCTGTAGATCCTTTTTTTGTTAGATCGGTTGTCACTTTGAACAACATCTCATTATAATTGTCATCTTGTTGCTTATTGTTTCAATTGTATACTAATGTATTGTAACTTCTATACAACCTTCTAAGATTTGTTAAATTCCATGAATCATTTTCCAGTATTGGTTTTTTAGGGATTTGATTGATTCGTTACAGGATTTCATTGTGAGCTGACATTTGTTAAAGAACCAGTCGAGAACCAACAGGGAGTAGTGGGCAGCTAGCTGTCTTGTCCTGGTTTGGGACTCTTCAGTAGTGCACACTCACCACAGGAGTAGAACCCACGACCTGCTGCTTATATTGGCGAGTTCGTAGACGATTGAGCTGGGTTCTGGGTTCTGCCTCAACCAATAGCCAGTCCGTAAACTCCAACTTCTGCCAATTGACGGCATAGCGTGACCTCTGGTCACTGTCATTGCTAATGAGTATTTGTCCTCATACCCGACCTGCTATACCCTTCTAGTCACGACTTCACATTAGAAATTCAGATGCTCACTAGCGACTGACCTTATTCAAGTAGGTAGCTCGTGTTGACATCCTGTAACAAATCGATCATTTTATAAAGGTTATCACCTACTTTATATTATTGGTCATATTAATATCGAAGCATCCGTTCGCGGAGGTCATATCCGCCAGTGAAGGTGATCAGTGCTGAAGAAGTTCCGAAATGAAACATTTTACAAACGTATAGTCATTGAAGTTCCCTCATTCAATGTACACGAAAGAAAGTAAAACAGGAAATTCAAGAGTATTTTAATCGGCAGAAATATGAAGGTAGATGCATCTGCGCTATTCAGAACAATTTTAAACCGTTTCTCCAACTTTCTTAATGAAGTTACTGGTTCTCAGTATAATGAGGATCCAGTTTAGGCAGCCTACATCTCCATACGTGACTACAACTAATTGACAAGGGTTTAGTCGACTTTTACCAGGTTTTTGACTTAATCATCTCAAAATCCAAAAACCAGCAAAAAGGTCGAAGAAGCTGCCAGCGAATACAGAACTCCAGGTGAACATACACAAGACGGAGGTTATGAAAATAACCAACCAACCAACGAACGAACGAACAACAACAGCAATATCCAGCGCCAATCACCCAACATCAACGGGAGGGATTTGAAGGAGGTTACTTCATTCACTCACTCACTTATCTTGGGAGCATTGTCTCAACTACAGCCAGTCGGAACGGACGAGGATGTCGAATCGAGAGAGAATCGGGAAGGCGAGCGAGAAACACATTCACTCATCAACCTGAAACCAATCTGGAAATCTTCGTCACTCAACTACTCACCATCAACAACAAAATTCCGTCAGATTTTCAATACAAACAGCGTCAAAACAGCTCTTCTATACGAATCAGAAACTTGGCGCTTGGCGGGTCACAAAGAATATTTCCAACAGCCTGTTGCAGACCTTCATCAACCAACAACTGTCAACTATCGCTCTATACTGAAGATCAGTCAGATGGCCGGCCGGGCCGGAAAGAATCACCAACAAGAAACTATAGCAAGGAACAAACAAAAGAAGTACCAATCAATCGCCAACCAACAAATATCATGCAGGAGAAAGTGGAGATGGATGGATTGGACACTCACTCGCTGAGGAGGCCGCCGCTGGGTGATGTTGCGCGCGCGTCAGCCCATTGCTCGAGTGGAATCAGGCCGAAAGGGAAGTGGCGAGCGAGACGTCAGTGTGAGGGTGACATTGAGGAGATCGTGTGAAGAGGAGTTGAAGCAGTATGGACTAGCACGGACGCAGATGAAAAGTACAGCAGAAGACATAAGCAAATGGAGACGTGGAGTTGAAGTCCTGTGTTCCACTAAGAACCCAAAGGAACGATTTTATAATAATATAATGTTAAACTCTTTGCCAGCATAATTCTATGCCGTCTAACATTCTTCATCTTGGAAGGTGATAGATAGCCTAGGAATTCTCAACTCGTATCTTAGCCATCTCAATCGTTTCACCCTATCAATATTATCGACTGATTTACTCTGCCAAGCTTACACTTTACGCCTGATCTCGCGAAATTATTCACCATATTATACCACTTGTCACAGAAGATAGATTTCAGATAACTATGGTCGAAGAAGACGGTTGTTTTTTTCATACCTTCCATTTCCTTTGACTAAGTCTCACAGCCATATAGGAGGATGGGGTGAACTGTTGTGTAGTACACACGTCCTTTGATCAATACCCAGTTGGATGCTACATCTGCATCAGAAATGAACTAGGCTGGCAAATGTCACACAAGCCTTTTTGTATCCCCCTAGTGAGATCTCGGCAACAACCGGTCACTCCCTTGATGGCTGATGCAACTTCCCAAATAAGTGAAATGATTACAAACACGAATAAATATTAAACTACTGTGTTTTCTATTACTACTTTTACTAAACTGTTTTATCTTCCCACAAAGGATTGATTTCATATGTAATTATCAAATAACTTCGTTCACGTATATATACTTTTATTTTCTTACCATTGTTTAATGGTTGCTATAACATTTGGGAAATTGAGTGGTTCGCCAGACATGCATTTGGTCGACGAACCCATTAACCTTCACCCGGTTGACGGTAGGCCTGCAGAAGATATGACATCTGGAGTGAGGCTACATTCCATACCTCATAAACAGCTACACTAACGATAGCGAAGCCCCAAACTCTGCTAATCCTCAGTATGTAGCGTAACTGCCAGTTAGCGTGACTATCTCCATACCTAAGCCGGTTGATCCAACTGGTTATGACTTTTCCCACTAGAACTCCAGGTAACTTCCCGTATAGAGGCAGTTGCCAGTGATTATCAGATTAATTACTGACAAAAGTTGGAATTCATGGGCCATCGGATTAGGAGTTCTAGTATTTGAAGAGCCAATAAGCTTGCTATCTAGACGGAACGTCCTGGGTTCGAGACCCGACTGCTTCTCACTGCCTAAGAGTGCTAAAATGGGATGAAACATCTGCCCAGTCCTCCCTGGTAGTTTTCGAATGGCTATCTATCTGATTTCAAGCTGTGGTCAAACCTATAATCAATCAGATCCCTGTATTCATGGAAATTGAACCACAACCACGTACATGGTTTTGGTTCGATTTCCGAACGACTCACCACTAAACCTCATGTGATCGGTGGTGAGTCCAGAATAGGAGGTGAGACTAGCAATGCTACCTCGTAAAGAATGGCACCAACGCCACGGGGAAATTTCAAGTCTTGTAGCCGTATGGTCAACTAAAGCAAGCACTTATGAAAAGAAAATTTTAGGATAACTTTTGAATTATCCAATCAAAATTCATCTGTTCACTGATTGGTTAAATGTGAATATATTCAGTAGTACATTCGTAATCGCAAAAAGAATATTGTTCCATAGTAGGTATCACGTCATTAACACACCATACAAGTCAAATTATTATTATTATAGTTGCTTTTACGTTGTAAATCGAAATCTAATCTATGAAATAATGTGGAGCCAATACATTGAACTATGGTTTTGTCATTTAGTCCCATCGTGTATTTTCATCGAACGTTCAGAACAACAAGAAGAAGAGGCGGGAGAAGAAGTAAAGTCATGTAGAAATGCGCTAAACAACAAAATACTACAATAATCACGTAATGTCCAACAGTCAAGAATACGTTATTACAAAACACTATGGTGATCCATTGTAAATCAAGTTTGAATACTATTCTTATCATCGTATTCAATATATTTTTATCAAGATGGAATTATTTTTCTATAACAACATGTGGAGGTCTTCTATGCTTATCTTCATTTCTGTATAGTACTGAGAGTAAATATAATCAATATCATTATTACTACTATTCGTCTTCTAATTCTTCGACTGCGTTGCCACCGTCGTCATCCTCCTCCTCTTCAACACAACAACCTGTGGATAGTTATTTAAGAGGTCCAGAGAATCAATCTGTGTTATATAATACAAATACTATTATGCATTGTAGAGTTTATAATAGAAATTATAATATATCGACTAAGCTGAAGGCATTTTATGAACACTATTTAAGTGTACAATGGATTATTGATGGTTTCGGTGTAAATAATGAAAGTTTAAAAGCTGTTCACGGTGAGAGATATTCTATGCCAGGACCAGTTGAACAAGGTGAGTAGAAAAAATAAAAGTTATTAAAAACTAATTTTGTATATATGTATATATATGCATTATGATATATATATATTCTTCATAGAAAGATGTCATACTTTCTTGTGGATTGCAGTCATCTGACTTATCATTTGGCTAATTTTTCCCCACATTTTCCTGGTGTTTGGACGCTATGGGATTTTATCCTTTTTGACTGATTAGTCAGAGGTGTAGTCTTTTAGCTACCGAAGGTGTTCTGGGCACGATTCTTAGTGGCGTTATGCGTCCATACTACTAAGGAGTCTCATACTAGCACCAAAACAGCCATCCGCTACTTTCTCGTATTAGTTCGTAACCTAAACTAACTTAAGAACTGTATAAATATATTTAATGACTAATTCTTTCATAATGTCTAGGATCTTTGAATACAATATTTCATTTCCTACCCAGCTATATTAATATTATTATTCCCTTGGGTTCTAAGTGGAACACAGGTGGGCTTCAACAACACATTGACACTTTATTTCATTTTCTGTTGTCCTCTTCAGATGGTTAGCTCAACGATCGCCCATAATCTCTCATCTCCTCTTTGACACTCTTTCACTGATGACCCACTTATAGGATTTCACTCAACAGATGTTATTTGATGGCCTCCTCAGTGACGAGTGTCCACCGATCCATCTCCTGCATATTCTCCTACACATTTGTTAAGCGATCGGCTCTTGGTTGGTTTATTTGCAGTGCACAGTTTTCTTGTTGCTAGTTCTTTCTGACGGGCTGACCGTTTTTGCTCTGTAACATGGACCGTTGCAATGAAGTAGTATTTTGTGAGTCACAGTTTCCATAATCCAGTAGTGTATAAATTATTATGTCTGTTTTGTGTCTAAATTCGTACTGATTAATGCCCACCAAAGCTGCCAGTTGGCTCGGATTCAATTTCTGGCTGACACAGTTCAATAACAAGCTCAGTAGATAGGAAACGTTGAGTGTTAGGCTAAAAAAAGCACTCCATATATACACACATATTATCAGTGCTACGGAAAATAAGAAACAATAATTTCAAAAACTGCTTCAAGACGAGCTATTTCCTCTCAAAAAATACTTGTAGGATTATGTAAAAATGTTGACTTTCGTCTTTGTGGAAATATATTTTGAGTCTATAGATGGAGAGGAAGAAAAATTCCAGCGAATGAAGTGGAATTTGTCTACTTCTCAAGTCTTTAAGATAATAAATCCATTAATAGATTATTATTGTTCCCTTGGGTTCTTAGTGCAACATAGGGCTTCAGCTGCAGGTCTCCGCTTGCTTCTGTCTTCTGTTGTACTTTTCATCTGCGTCCATGCTAGTCCATACTGCTTCAACTCCTCTTCACACGATCTCCTCAATGTCACCCTCACACTGACGTCTCACTCGCCACTTCCCTTTCGGCCTGATTCCACTCGAGCAATGGGCTGACGCGCGCGCAACGTCACCCAGCGGCGGCCTCCTCAGCGAGTGAGCGTCCAATCCATCCATCTCCACTTTCTCCTGCATGATATTTGTTGGTTGGCGATTGATTGGTTCTTCTTTTGTTTGTTCCTTGCTATAGTTTCTTGTTGGTGATTCTTTCCGGCCCGGCCGGCCATCTGACTGATCTTCAGTATAGAGCGATAGTTGACAGTTGTTGGTTGACGAAGGTCTACAACAGGCTGTTGGAAATATTCTTTGTGACCCGCCAAGCGCCAAGTTTCTGATCCGTATAGAAGAGCTGTTTTGACGCTGTTTGTATTGAAAATCTGACGGAATTTTGTTGTTGATGGTGAGTAGTTGAGTGACGAAGATTTCCAGATTGGTTTCAGGTTGATGAGTGAATGTGTTTCTCGCTCGCCTTCCCGATTCTCTCTCGATTCGACATCCTCGTCCGTTCCGACTGGCTGTAGTTGAGACAATGCTCCCAAGATAAGTGAGTGAGTGAATGAAGTAACCTCCTTCAAATCCCTCCCGTTGATGTTGGGTGATTGGCGCTGGATATTGCTGTTGTTGTTCGTTCGTTCGTTGGTTGGTTGGTTATTTTCATCACCTCCGTCTTGTCTATGTTCACCTGGAGTTCTGTATTCGCTGGCAGCTTCTTCGACCTTTTTGTCGGTTTTCGCTTGTAGGTCTTCAATTTTGTGACAGTGACATCAAACATAAATCATCCACGCGCGAAATCCAGGTCTTCTAGTTTGTTCACGTCTGTCTATTTAGGATATCCCTGTTTTCTCCTTTCCCAATCACTGTCTGACACATAATCCAGTCAGTCCACCACAATTAGGAATATCATTCATTGGTGATAATAAGCCAGCACCCTTGTCCGACTCCTGTGATTACTCTAAACGCCTCACTGAGTTTTCCATTGTGGATCACTTGACATGTGCTATTGTCGTTCAGGTGTTGAATAAGGTTGATTAATATTTGGCGTAGTATTCGAGTTGTTTCCAAATTACTTCGCGGTCAACACTGTCGAAGGCCTTCTCAAATTCTTTAAAGTTGAGGTAGAGGTTTGATTGCCATTCCATGCTTTGTTCTGTGATGATGATGTGTAGAATTGCTTTTCCTGAATCCAGCTTGTTCTTTTAGGCGGAATTCTGTATCCAGCGCGTCCTTTATTCTCTCCACCCCTTATTAAATAGTGGTGACGTATATTAAAATTATTTCAGAAACTCTAATCTTGTGACGGTAGAGGTTGGCACAACGGAAGTTACTTCTAATTATCTTTCAGTTGAGTGAGAAACTTACAGTCGATAAATATGTGAGATAAATTCGTGATAAATTTTTGAATGATATATTTGTATATTGATAATTAATAAGAGTATCAACTTGCAGCGGTCCGATGGACATCATGACTACTATAATAAAGTGATCAGACAAGTTTCGTACTCTGTTTGTAAGTTTTAGGGGTACTACTTAAGTTTAGGGTATATTCTGCTTGATAAATATAACGTTATGAAATAGTAAAATGTGTATTTTGAAATGTTGATTTGCGGGCACTGGATTATTGTAGTTTTGGTCATGGATTGGTATTAGTTAGAGAACTACTGAAGACCTCCAGACAGTGAGTGAGTTCTGGGCGGGCATTTTGTCATAGTCTGAGACTCATCATCAGGCCACTCCCCTACTGGGTTTGAAATAAAGACCTTCTGGTTACAAGGAATGCTTGTATACCATTCAGCACCTGGAACCCGACTTAATGGCCACCGCATGAAGGCTGCTTTCTATCAATTCGTGAATCATAGCGCAACTGGCATTAACTGATTTCATCAGGATTGCTGACTAGAACTCTATGGAATTTCACCCTGTAGCTAGTACTAATTTGAGACGAAACAAGTATACTCTAGTTCTCCTAGGCTGCCAATGGTCACGTAACTGACATCAGTTATTATTATTATTATTACATCATTATTTCCTTTAGTTCTCAGAGGAACATAGGGCTTGAGCTGCACGTCTCCATTGTGTTCGATTCTACATCAACGTTTTCACCTGGCCCCACGTCTGTCACCCACATGCTTTCATCTCCTCTTCACATGACCTCCACATCCTTCATGTTACCCTAGCACTGACGACCAACTGGCTCGCCGCCTTCCATTCGGGTTTCACTTAAGCGATGACCTTATTGTTTGATGTCACTTGATGATTTGTTTTCTCAGAGTATGGCCATCAATCCACCTCCATTTTTTCCTGCATATTTGTTGAGCACAATTGGTTCCTGCTGGGTCGGTTTTCTCGCTAGCCATCTGATCTTGAGTAGTTTTGAGCAAAGACAGCTGTTGATAAAGATGTGCACTTTGTTCGAAGTGGCCTCCGTGACTTGGCGCAGAGTCACTGATCCGTACCGTAGGTAGCACTGACTTCATATTGAACTTGAAAATCCAGGTCTTATTTTTCATGCTTAGTATCGCTGTTGATCTCCATACATACTAGAGGGTAATGAAAGCTTGCCTTGCCTTCCCAATGGTCCTGGCTTTGATATCCTCATCAGTTCAGTTCGCCTGTAGCTGAAGTAATGCTTCCGATGTAGGTATGTCAAGGGGGTTGCTCGATTCAGATTCCGCCCATTTGTTTTTGTTGTTGCTGCTGTTGGCCAGGAATTTTCATCACCCTTGTTGTGGTGAGAGCAGGCCGTGAGAAAATATGTACAAGGCTGATTCAACAACCAATCACAGCAGAATTAACGTGGCAAAATATGATTCGCAGATAGAGAATTCTATTTTTCGAGGAATCCCGAAACAACTAATCAGAAGCCTGCGTTTGTCTGCTTAACTTCTGATAAACCACCAATCAGATGACTGCGCTTGTCTACTTGCATAAGCTATAATAATGTATGTGAAATATATATATATATATATATATATACATAGATACGTGTTGATTTTCATAATAAAACGATCTGTTGCCTGGCCCTTGTCTTCTGTTGTTACATTTGGTGTCGCTGCCTACCGACAATTGAAAGCCTATTCCATGCTGTTTTTGATGGAGACATATGGATCTTTGGGCAGGACTTCAAGGCTTCTGCGCAGATGAGTGGCATTCAAGATCTGTCAGCGATGCAGCTGCTTCTTGGAACGCTGCTGGGAGGTTGGGCGAAAGCAGCATATGAAAGTGTGAGCCAAAATACCGACGTGTTGATTTTCATAATAAAACGATCTGTTGCCTGGCCCTTGTCTTCTGTTGTTACATTGTCTCCCCCTTCTCTATATACCTCTGGAGTCCTATCTTCTCCGGATGATTTTTCTATCGTCAAGTTGTTGTTGCCTTCCACTTGCATATCTAAAAGTTTGTAGGAAATCAGACATATATCACGTCGGTGAAGTCCAGACCCTCTAAGTATTTTGCGTGAGTTTATTTTATGCCTGACTCCTCGTTGCCCGCCATTGTCTGTCTGTCTGTTGCATTATCCAGTCTACCGCACTCAGGAAAATCATTAGAGATAGTAGGCAGCCAGTCAGCCTTGTCTTACTCCCGATCTTCACTTCTTCGAATGATTCCATGAGTTTGTCGTTGT